CGCTGTAAAGTGTTTGAGTATGATGGATACAATGTTGACCATGGCTATAGTATGTACAACAACCAGCACATAGGCGCATCACACAGTGCGTCAGTCCCTGCTGCTTCCTATGAACAGGTTTTTTCAGGTAGTCTGTAGCCGTGACTCCAACAGTGATGCGAGTGATTCGGAAGCTTATGGATCATCTGCTCTCTGTCTTGATCAGCACCAACCACACCAACCTTAACGTGGTCATTATCTCACTACTTCGGGGTAACCAGCGCCGTATCGTCTGCTTGTGCTGAAAAAGGTCCCAAAGGTCTTCATGTGCTGTCAACGGGGTGTGCGCAAAGGAATCACAAAGTATGTGCAGATAAGCCGACTTTTCCAGGTGAATTCAAACACTTTTGTATTCTTGGTCCACTGCCGTCTTGCCTGATTAACTCCTGCTCTATATGCAGTAGAAAGAAAGGGATTTTACTGTTATCTCTGATTTCTGACCCGTCCGTGATAATGATTACAGAAGCCCGGCTACCCCCGACACTTGTGGCCTGGAAATCTCCATCGACAATCATCTTTTGTACAACGGGGACAGACAGCGCGATAAAGGAGGAAGGTGCATTATCTTTATATGGCCTGACATCACTGCCATGGAATGCTTAGTGAAGGTGATGACTCCACGGGGGTTACCGCCAAACTTGCTCACTCCACATTCCTGCTCATGGGGTGCATCTACTGACCAACTTGCTCCTCAGTCGATTGGAACGGGGAGCTAACAAGAGTGTTCGCCCATGTGGCATCACTGCCACATATAGCAAAAGTATATGCGGTGACTTTAACATGCTGGGTATGGCATGGTAACCAACCACCTCTCCAAAACACTTTGACAAATTCATGAGCACCTTGAAGATTGAGGGTTAGCAACAACATGTAAGACTCCCCACCAGGTGCCGTGGTGCTCTGAACCACACCTGTATAGCTCCAAGTAGGTAGACAATTCCTAGGCAGGTATCGCAAAATGGTATTTGGTAGCTTCAACATGTCTGGCCCAAACTTAGCCGAAAACACTGGAATTGTTCCACCTAAAAACTTAAGACATGCTAAATGGAAGTAACTAAAGTCGTTTCTGCGCCGCTCGGATCGGAATTTCAGGCATGAGACTCCGCATTCTACTCTGTGAATTTGTAGGCGTAGTCCAAGATCATATTTCTGCAGCATTACAAAGAGAAATAAAGAAGATAAAGTTGACTTTACCCCCGTGAACGTAGGCAACCGTTTGCGTAACCATGCCATGACTTTTTATCACAAATCACGCTCAAAGACATGAACGACATATTTAGGGTTGAAAGGGTACTAAAAGCTGTAAAACAGGAACGTGTCCACTGCAACGAAACTAGTTATATAAGGCCATTAATGAAACCTATGTAACCCCGAGCATGCAACCCTGAAAATAGTGCCGCCAGATCATTCACGAATAAGTGAAAACTTCACGAAGACCCGCCACAAATCCACCAACTGTTCAGCTATCAGTTTACCAGCTTCTCTATATACGAGAATGAAACAGAAGTCACAGATACACCGTCAACATCAATTAACTTCCTGGGTAATAGGCTGTACACTCGTCAAAACATTTCCTTTGCGATAGCCTCACTTTAAGCCCCAGACAGCCGTGAACCCGATGGAACCCCTGTCATCTTTCTGAAAAGAGGTTGCGAAGCCATACCGCTGATCCTCTTGGACCTCTTCAATATACCTCTCTTTCATACATACATCCCGGTCCTAACTTGTCATGGTCAAGATCAACATAGGACCACGCACTTCTGTGTAAGGATCTAAGTTGCCACACCACACCTCATATCAGCACACCAAGTAACAAGGTAATGAAGTGGAAGGTGAAGAAGAAAAGAAGCATTGGTCAGAACGAGTAGGAAGTAGTAAGAGAAAGGAAAGAGTAGTGAGAAAGAGACAAGATTAAGTACAGCCGTTAGGATGAAGCTAATATGTAAGTATCTGCGTGACTGACGTCAGTTCAGAGTCATATCACCTACGGTCAGTCTGCAACCACTGGATCCTCTTGTCCCGCAGACTCCAACCAGGTAATCTACGTGGCCCTACATGGCTCGGACGAACAGTCAATGACTTTATGCATTGATGCCACGTTTTTGTCTGGCCTCCCTGAGCCCTTTTTCCACCTCAAACTCTTGACGACCGAAATACAGTTACTTCTGTTTGAACGCCGTAAACAATTTAGCGGGACAAGACCAACGCGATCCAGACAATTTCCTGAGTTCTACCGTATAGTTCCCGAACTTTCGTGCGTGACGCATAGCCAGAGACTAGTTCAACAGTAGCAGAAAACGAGTTGTGGCAAATCGGTGATAGATTTGTGGTAAATGTGAGGTACCATCAACCAATAAGATGTATCAAAACTACAAAAACACCCCAGCAGTGCCACCGGGCAACTATGCAGTTCAAAACTTTCCTTGGTACGAATACGTACTGGGAATCAATAGGAACACTGCCAACAAATGGGATGAAGACTCTGACTACAAGAATCGAATCTATCTATTAACGTCTCAAGTTGACAGTCAAAATACGGGCAGTCAGTTCATAGCATAGCCCTAAGTCGAGCCAAAACAAAATGTCAGCAGCAGTGAAACAACTCCACTTTGTCGACAGTACAGCACCACACATTGGCAAAGTGAAGCATCCGCGATAAGTCTCAGTCAAAACGGAGACGAATAATGAGTGCGAGGTCAAATAAGACAGGCAAATGGATATCACTCTGGTTAGGGTCGGAAGCATAATATCCATAATGAGGGTAAAGTACTCAAATAAATATCAGCGCTGTCAAGCGGAGTGATCTGGAGTGATTTTCAAATCATTTTTCCCGTTTTAGAATCAACTACGACCAACAATATGTGACGAGGCTGAGGGTGGTTGGGCATACGTAACACATGTGCCAGCCATCTGAACCGATGAAGGTTCGCAGCCACATCAGTTTTATTACATTTCTTGCCTAAAACTCGACGTCCGACTTCTGCTTTACCCACTTGACGACGTCAAGAAAAACAGCCTATTATACGGAGGCAGTGCTAGTTAAATGCCAGGAGCCTTCTCACTTTTTCTTTCTTGAATGGCCATGTTTTGCAGCCACACAGTAGCCTATTTGTCTACGTTGGGCAGGAATGCAAATTGCATAATTCCTTTCCCCGGTCACAACCCAGGGATAATCTGTTCAAGCAATCTAGATGGTTGACAGCGGAATGAGTGGGTTTCGCCCAACGTGCTCCCACGATTCAGTGGACCCCTAGTTCTTGCGGTTTACAACCTATGTACAGCCAAATCCAGGAAACTAGTGTCGGCCAAAATGTGAAAACGAACTTATTTTTGAATGGGCCACCACCTAAATCTTAAGTAAATTTCAAGATGGAGTTTAGGGGATTCAAGTGAAGTAGCCTGGGCCAAATCTACAGGAAAAGCATTCCAAGATTCAGGAACTCGCGGGGTATCAAAACTGTGGCTTATATCTATCCTGTTACTTTTTAGAGTTAACTTCCGTGTGCTCTCTACACTTGGTGTTGTAATCAAGCCTTCACAAGTGATGTGGTAGGTGTCAATTAGTGTTTAAGATCATGTGAGCCCCAGTCGAACCCCTCATTAGTCTTCTATGTTCCTGGAGCTATAGATTAATCGCGACCATTTTTTATCGATACTTTTGAAGTTTGAGCCCACGAGCAGATTTGGCTGACTGACATTTTATGCTGTCGAGGCTGAACTTGTCCCTCTGTAGAGGGGCAGAAGATACTAGTCCCAAACTCCTGGCGACGCCGAATGAAGCCGCTGAAATTTTGGTGAAAAGATCTACAGTTGAATTATCCGAAGTTTCGTATGAGCCGTTAACGCCAATTTCCCACAAATTGCATTTCCGTCATAGTTGGTATGAAATTGTAAGTCTTAAGAGACTAAGCTGGTCAAATCCTTCTGCACCTGCGACGCTTCTACCTGAACGCATAACACGACCCATGCTTTACGTGCACATCGTTGAATTTTTCAGGGTTGTCAGTCGCTCATTTTCGAAGTTGGGATAGGTCTTCCTGCAGAGAGATACCATCGTATTTTATTGTGATTTCTCCTCATGGTTTCAAATCCTCGGCCTAGAGAAGGATCTCGGAAGAAAGGTAAGTCGTCTAGGTATATAACAAGAAGAAGAGGTTGTGGTATCCAACGACGGGGATCTTCGCCTGCATATTCTGTAAACGCCCATCAGAGTGCGGAAACCCGCATGCTTTCTCACCCTTTCTGTCACTAAGTTTGTGGTCGCTAAGGTGCATCGCCAGCAGAGATTATGACCGTTCCATCTGTTGACAGTTTCGAGAAGAGTTTGGGCAGCTGCGCGGCGACACATGGCATGCCCTTTTACAGCTGGGATACTGACTAGATCAACACAACCAACTAATCGCCCATCATCCACCACGGCCAACGCCTGCCTTCATTTTGGAACCACCTCGGAGAGCTATCTGGTGATATGACACTAAAGGGGCTCATCCACATCACATTTCTTGGATAAACAGTGAAAGCCCTACAAGTTTAATCAACGCCCAACAGTCGGTGGGGTGTACAAGAGCTGGAGCAGTTGAGTGGTTGGATCCACTGCATAAAAATCCTTCAAGGACCAACAGCCGTTTCAAGAGACGCAGAAGCGAGCACCAAAAAGTTAATTGGTTTATGCAAGCTTGTAAGCAGTTACTGAATATTTGCCTTGACACCAACTTATGGTCGGGTGCTTGCTCCAAACCAACCTGATTTTCATACTTTAACCGCCAATTTTTCCTTATTTTTAGTTATGTATGGGTGTAACACACTAGAAACATTACTCATCCACTTTACAGTTTTGATTTCTAGACTATCTCGTCTTTTCCCTGTCAAGTTCTATCATTTGTCAATCATCTTTTACCACTAAATGTCACAACATCCTGCGTACTTGCTGAGTCATCAAATCATGTTCTCTCTTCATCTTTTTTTCCAAAGATTCACGTGGTTACCGCTAAACTCACACTCCTCAACACGTCCCACCTGCAAAAACGTACTTACTCGCAAGGTCGACGAAAACCTATCAACAGCTGGTCGTTACATAGGTTAGCAACCATAGGAACTAGCGGTTCACTGATTCTAGATAGGAAATCAGGTTGAGAAAAAGAATCTTCTATCATATTATCAATCACCTGAATAAACTTGTACGTGGCATATTTTTTCCAGTGGTATTGGACACCACTTCACATTTTGTTCGAGCTGAGTACAAATTTCTGGGTGAGCATGCGTTTTCGTAACTATTACTGATTATTTGTAAGTATCTTTTCTGAGTTCCATTTTATGTCACTGGTTTACATCTTTTAAGGTACTTATATTTTATTGGCTTTAATTTATGCAGTTTCGCATAATTGCATGGGATGTTTACATCTGTCAACTGGTTTCGAATCCCATTTGGTTGGTAATGATAAGATGACTGCTTAGTTAGGTAATTGAAACTTGAAGAGTTGACTGAAATGTGACCAATTTACTGTGCAAAATCTGATTGTACTGCATAATATTCTGAGGAAGGCGATATCAAGGGGGAAGAGCTAAAGTTGTTACAAAGGTCTTTAACGAGGCAATCGTATTACATTCCCCGTGATTATTTCTTTGTTTCAAAATAACATCTACATTTCCACTTTCGATGGATCTGGGTTAGGGAAGAGCGAAAACTATGGGGAAAAGTGTGAGAACCGGAAGGAATGCATTTCTTCATGTTTACCTGTGTTTCACTCCTGATCAGGAGCTTGACTTCACCTTTGCCTCTTAGTTTCCCGTGTCCACTTCATCCTCCTGATTATTGTCAGTTTTGCTTTCTGGTGTCTATTTCATTCATGAATTATTAATGAAGCCTCAATTTGAATGATTTAGTGCAGAATGTCTAAAATGTTTTTAAATACTCATGGTCATATAGACAGCTTATATATTTTTAGCGTTTATGGAGTGTTTGATAAACTGGTAGGTTATTATAGCGTTGAATATCTGTTATGGAGTAACGGCTATTCGCTAAGTATTGGACATGGTTTTCTAAATGTTATCCACAGTTGTTTGTATTGGTTGCATCCTGTTCGGTGTGCTGCAACAAAATAGTTATCACTTGATCTCTGTCAATCGTGAATCCTGATACCGCATCGTGTCCTGACTTTACACCAACTGCACATGAAGTCTCACTCTAATTTGCCTTGTTCAGAGAGGTTACTTACTTGCTAGAGTTGTAATGCAACTCGATATGTGTTTGATGAGCACTTCACAAAAAGTGTACTGCTGAAAAAGAAAGTGGTAACATTGCCGAATGCTTCAAGTGAGTGGCAGCTACGTGTCTCAGTACAGCTTCGGATTGTTTTCTGCAGCTGACAGCTGATTTGCAGACGTAATGGATAGGCTACCGCTTTGAACCACCTTCAAATGTATCTGTCAATTCACCTGCTTCTGTGAAGCTGGTTATGTAGACCATAAAAACGCATCTACGAACAATATCGTGCTTATTTGTTTAGAGGAGAGCGTAAAATGATCAATAACTTAATTCCTGAACGTTTGTTTAACTCAGGTTACTCTGCTTAACCAAAATCTTTCTTCGAAATGATTTGCAAAGTCAATTTAGACATTTTGAAGGGAGTACGGACTCGCCACCTGAACATGGTGAAAGCCTTGGCAATTTATCGTTTCAAGTTTGATCTCTGCGTCCAGTCTCTAATTTTACGTCGCCACAATCTTCCTATGGCTTTTTTGATTTTCAGCTTGACTATCCGAGATAGTCATGGTTTCGCTGACTTGTGCTGATGGTTGAAGGTGAGATGAAAATCTGAGGCGCGACAGAATTCGCACCAGTGACCTCATTTTATTTATATTATTTCCACCCACTGTCCTTATTCTGTAATTGTTAATTTCAAATGTCTGTCCCACTATTATCTATTCTGTTACTGCCCGGATTATTGCGCAATCACGATGTGATTCTGTAGATAATTTTCATCACATTCTAAAACAAACCTTGTAATTAACCTGTTGTCCTCGAAACAGTTTTTTGATGATTATATATTGACCTTGTATTCATATTTACCTTGTAACTCTAGGACAGATTTTGACGACCTTTTGTTGACCCTCGAGCCATAGTGGATAGACACATTCCCTTTGTGACTATAAATACGGATGTACGAATTCTTCTGAAAATGATTCGTCAAAAAATAGAATTTCACTGAATTGTTTTTCCTTAGTTTTTTTCCCATGTTCCATGATTGTATCAGACCTCGTGGTTTGGTATCAGATAAGTTGTGTACGTCAAGTGGTGACCGTCAAAGTTGTCTACTCTATCAGTTATTTCATTTTGTTAAATGAACTTATGGAGGTTTCTCTGTCCTCGTCTAACTTCAAGGAGATTGACGTCGTCTCGAGAAACTTTTTAGAGGACATAGGCATATGACATAGTCCCGTTGGACGAAGACGTTGATAAGGTACAGTCTTCTATATGCCTTGAGTGGCAATTTGAGTGTTTGGGATGCCGTTTATCACCACTCAAATGAAAATTTTGACTCCAGGACTGTTCTGGGTTGGCACCCTGTCTAACAATAGGGAGTGAAAAGGTTAAGTGCATTGATCATCTCACTTACTTGGCAAGTCGGAGCAGCCTTGATGGGTCAGGGATTGGCAAAATTTCTACGCGTACACAAAAGGCTCGCTTAGTCTTCACTAGCCATTTGGAGCGCTGGCGTAATATCCCATTGCCCAATAAGGGTCGAGTGTGCTGCACTGCAGTTTACTCTCTTCTATTATATGGCTGCAAAATGACCATTAAAGGTAGCAGACTTCGTCAGGTTTCAAGTCTCGGACCACTGTCACCTTCGTAGCATAGGTCGTGTATCGTGGTACCACCACGTCGGTAACGTAGAAGTCAATTGTAAAGTTTTAGGCAAAGAAAAGTAGGTTGTGAACAATCGTCTACTCAGACGACTGGTACATGTGTTGCTCGTGCCGAATCACCGTCTGACTCGCTGCTCAGTATTGTTTGAAGTAGGTTCAGACTGGACAAATGCTAGAGATTGCTAGGCTCAGACGTTGGACCAGTTTATGGTGTCTTTGACTTCTGGTGACAGCCATACATGGAGGTTTAGACTGCCTTACTGTGGTCCTCTAGATTATAAGAATTAGTGGTTTGAGATCCTGATGATATGGCTTAAAATTGTTAACCATATTGTGTCACATAGAAGTTATTGGGAGGCTTCAGATTTGCATGAAATCTTTATTAATCCGTACATTTTTGAATGACCGTTCTCGTGCCCTTTTTACACCACGATTGGTAGTTCATTTCCTCTCTTTATTAAGGTAATTCACTGACTGGTTGACGCTTGCTTTTGCTATGTTAATGTTCCAAAACTTTGGACAGAGTCATATATCACGTATGTGTATACACAAGTGTTTTGTGTCATTTTGAATCTCCTCTGAGGCAATATACTATCCCATCCAGACTAGTCTTTTCTCTATTTCATCTGAGGTTTGGAGTCTGCGGTATTGGGTGTACGAATCAGCTGTTAGTTATGCCTGCGTATTATATGCACTCAGGAACAACAGAAGTGTAAAGCTTTTTGTAAGGCAGCGTGATTCGTAGACCACTATTGTAACTTTCAAGTATTAACAATGAATTTTTAAGTGGTTTCCAAGAGAACATCAATTGGCTGTGACCTTTAGGTCTGTCATTTTCATAGGTATATAAGATTTAGCCTTTGTATCTAGCGTTATCGTACCACTTCTACAGCAACATCGATAGACGGGAACAGTTGCCACTCGTAAGGGAAAATGAATGCGATTAATATTGTTTGGCGACACATCTCTATTTCAAGGTCTCGTAGAAGTTGAAGACGTAGTTGATGGATCCATGACAACGTCTTTATTCGCTTATCTTTCACTTGTTGTTCTTTAACTTCACTTATTCGTTGACTTCTATAAAGTAAAAACTGTTAGCCAGGCTAGTTTCTCTGTATCACAAGAGGATTACTCTTCGTCATTAGAGGGTGCAATGAATAGCGATTAAGGCCGTTGCAATCGAATCGAAATGCATTCAGCAATCTTGTGCACATACGTGCAGTGGGGAATGAGCCATACCTATTGTCTGACGTGTGGGGATACTATGTGGCTACCCAAACCGCCGTAGGCGGAGCGGGACTCGAACCAGAGGAATTCATATTCAACCCACATTAACTGACATCTCATCAATCTTGGATCACCACTCTTTAACACTGGTTATAATGTATGAGAACGAACTACCAATCCTGTTTTCAGATTACTCTCAGCGTTCTAAATTTCAGAAGCAGTTTGAGGTGTAATGCCAGCATCTCATTCATTCGTGAATTAGCAACTACAGAATACATGGACACCAGTTGAGTTACTCTTCAAAATTTTCTACTTATCATTCAAGTTGCCTGTCTTATGGGTAGATAGTTGACTTGTCTTGGGTGTATAGTTTTGCTTTCAAATTCTTGTCAACTTGTACTAATTGGTGTTTTTCAAATGCATTGTTTTATATCAGCTTATCGTTTTTTAGCATATTTTCTTTTGAAATTACTTTTATTACTAGACTAGTATCAAAATGCAGATATACACCTCTGAAAAGCGTGGTTCAGACACAACTGGGGATGGAACGGAGAAGGCTCCTTTGAAAACTGTTTTGCAGGCACTGATCAAACTGGATGGTAAAGTTAATGCGGATACCCGTATCTGGGTTGATGGTGTTGGAGATGAGGTGTGGGATGTTGTGTCCAAAACCAAACTAAAGAAAATAATGAAGTTGTATAGCGTACAAGCTAAGAAACAGGAGAAGGTGCAACATGAAAAGGTGATGATTTGCTCTTTAGTGATTAATTATAATCTTGTAAATCATATGAAGAATGTTATGTTTTCCTTTTTAAAGATTCAACCAGTAGTTTTTCATATTGGTCAGTCTGATTCCTTTAGTCTCAGACGAACTGCAGGGATTACTGCGTTATTATTATTATTATCATTATTATAATACAAACATGGAACGGAAACCGCACCGAGAAATGCACCACAAGATAATATAAGAGCATTATGAAGACATAAAGCAAAGGGAGTGGATAAATAGAAAAACAATGAGAATAAAATGATTAGAAAGGCAGTTCAATAAAATGCATTCAAAACGAAACATTCATTACTTTTCAGCAGCAGAAGATAGAAGGAAGCTACAGCATGACTGCCACTGATTTCGATTCTAAGCCATATCTGATAACGTCTCAAGCCATTGAGTTGCATGATCCCTTGGACTCCACCCAGGGAGTCGTGATGAGCCAACAGACACTAACTTGATACAACTATCCTTCATCCCATAGCACCATGTCATACACTGGCCACTCCTCTTTCGCTTCTATCCAGGCCTAGGGCTAGCAAACAATGAACGGCGTGAAAGCCGTTGCGACGACATAAGTAACATATGTCCAAGCTACCGAAGCTGATGTTTCCGGATGTCTTTACTTATTGAATGACGATCTCCATCATATCCAAACACGCTGTGATACCTCAGAATTACTTATGTGGTGTTGCTACAGAATACGAGCAATCCTATGGAAACAACGATGGTCAAACACAGAGTCGTGGTGTATCCTCAGCTTGGAGAGGCCAGGTTTCACAGGTGTAGAGCAGAACTGTTCGCACCAAAGCGTTGAAAAATTGACCTTTTACGATCCAACTAACGTGATGATGGCTCCAAAAGTTATCCAGATTGACATATACCACTCTGGCTTTCGATATGTGGTTAGAAATTTCATCAGTCACGTCTCCACCAGCACTCACGCGACAACTCAAATACACGAACTTTTCGAGTACTTCCAACGGTTCACCACCGAGGATGAGCGCAGGCACGGACTTCTGCCAATATTGCAAGAGTACTTTGCACTTCGATGGTGCAAAGCATGTGCCATACTTACGGACATTAATGGTCAACTGATTACGAACAGTCTGAGTAGCCTGTGTGTTGTCGCTCAGTATGACAATATCGTCCGCATATTTAGGGTAAAATAGCCGTTCTCCGCTATCATGCCCCTCCTTCAGAGCTGTTTCAAGAATGTCATCGGTGGCAAAGTTAAAGAAGAATGGAGAAATTGGGCAACCCTGTTTAACTCTGCTGCTGGTTTTGAATACTGGATACAGGTGGTTGTATTCCCTCACTCTACTTGAGGTATTATTATATAGGCCTTTCAAGATGTTAATAAATTTCTCAGAGATGCCTCTCTCTAACAGACAATTCCAGTATACAGCTCTGTCCAACGAATCGATTACTGTATTACACGTGTACAGTTTGTCCATAAACCTATCCAAAACTACTTTACTACGTTCTTCTTTTTCATTGGTTTGAAGTGAAAGAGAGCCAACACATAATGCATAATGAGTTTAAACTGTTGTTTGCAGTCTAGAGTTATGAAAGTTATTCCTCGGTCCTACTCGATTTATTCATTTGATGTGAATAATTAGCTGTTCCTGTCTTTAGCTGATCTAGTTTGTTCTAGTGAACTTGGAATGTACTGTAACTCATAGTAGGGGTAATGTAATTTGAACAAATTCATAGCTTGGTGTCAGGAGTAACTTTAAAGGTAATTGACTATACTGTCAAGTGCGTGTAAGGAAGGATAAGCATTTGTCATAAAATAATGTAAGTTTTAATCCTAAGTCGCATGTAAACAACTGCTCAGTCTGATAGGTGATTTATGTCTGGAATCCGACCAAAACCTTTTAGCGCACCTACAGAGATTAACCCAGCACAAATATCAATTTGGTCCAATCAACGAGCGGGAATTATTAGGAATCACATAAAATCTATATCCTTTGCACTACGGGTGGGTATCGTAACTTAGTGGATAATACTTCGACGTTTGAAAGCGATCAGTCCTGGGTCCTAGTTTTAGTTGGAACAACATCACTCACTGGGAAGACAGGTTCATCCGTTTGACGAGTTCCAAGTAGGACGAAATGTGCGTGCTGGATTCCACTGCTAATCACTACCCATCATTACTATCAAACTGCAAGTACTAGGAATATAGAGGCATCAACGTAGGAGCCCGTGTGTCGATAGAGGCCAATCAATTCGGTTCAATCAAGCAATAACATTGAACCCAAATATCCTTCATCTCATAATGCAATGCTACTTCCTTCAACCACTCAGTCACTATCAACATAGAACCTAGCATTACTGTGTTGTGGTTCAAGTTCACACACTTAATATCAGCATATCAAGATTGAAGGCACAAGGGTGAAAGATAGCAAAATATGAAAGGTATAAAAACGGAGAAAGAAGGGATAAAACAATAGTAAAAACTGATATGACAATGAAGATGATATCAGTTATGAACCGTATCGTTTAGAGTCTCCAACCGAAGATCTCAATTTTGTCATGGATCCCTATCGTGAAGACTAAAATTCCCTCGTTCAGTAGTAGTATGGTTGGTATATAAATCGCTGAAATGGTATGCGTTGAATATGTTAAAGCCAAAAAAACCGATCTTTGAAGTAACTGATAAGCGAAGAATAGCCTGTATCGCGCTTAAATTCACAATGATTGTAAGTGCGAAACCATTAGTTTGTGTGTGTAGTTAATTGAGAAAAGTTGCATATAGTACAGGCTTCAGTTTCGTATTTGACATACAACGAATCATACTATTCGAGCTGAAAAGAGATTATCTTTCGCTCCAGTGTTGTTTAGTACAGTATCAGAACATTAAATAACAGACGATAGATGTTGCCATCGCGTTCATTCCATGTTCACTTCTATTTTTTCCCTCATTTTAGCAGTCATCTGAGCATGGAGATGCAAGTAACCACCTAAGTGAAGCTGTGGAAGTTCAACTCACTCTCGATACATCACTACCTACAGCGAAACAAAGTAAAATTCGTGATTTACAAACTCTGTATGATAAACGTGTTCACGTTTATGGTTGGGTGCATCGAATTCGTCGTCAGAGCAGAACACTAATGTTTATTGTTCTTCGTGATGGTACAGGATTCTTGCAGTGTGTATTTGCAAATAATCTGGTAAGCTTTTATGACGATAACATATTCTTAAGCGTAAAACAAAGGTATATAGCTGAACTAAACTATTTATCTCATACTTTTTCGCCTGGAAAAGTTTTTCTGTGAACAGTTATACCACTGTCACTGGTATTTAAGTACTTTAGACCCTTTTCATGGTCAGTTTTACGTATCTTTCGAAGTCACGAATTACGGTCTGCAGATAGTGATCATTTTAACATCGAACTGCACTCTCCATTGATATACAAAACCATTTCATCAAGTTGGTGCTGTAGCTCATTGGTTTATGAAGTTGACTACCAACCAAATGGGTCATGGGTTTGGACAACGTTCCATCTACCGAGGTTTGGGCAGCCAGGTAGTATCCCTATCTCTTACACAATAGGTGTGGCACGGAGGTGCACAAGGTGACCGAGTGCATTAACGTTAACACCTTTGGAGTTGCATGATATTCTTGTTAAGCCAAGTGGTTGGTTAACTGTAACCATGACACTGAACGGTAAGGAATTAGGTTCTCTAATGAAGCATTATAGTTTCTTCAAGGTTCTTTCTGTTGACAAGTAACAATTATGAAGTCTGTGTTGTCGACGTACTTTTCATTTCTCAGAACATTCAATAGATTCACTGACCGTTTTAAAAATGCCTCGATTACACACACAACTGATATAATTTGATAGTAGCATTGATAAACAGAACTTGTGGTTGTGAAATTTCTAAAATAGGAATATTTGTCAATGAGTTTAATTATCTTACTCGAGGTACCCTTTTCTACGTGTCCGTTAAAGATGATACCTGATATGTTAGTCAAGACTTCATATGTAGACATTTGAGTATTCTCATAGTCTAATCAGTTGATGCTTATTAAGTGCATAAACTGGTTAGTGTATCATATAGCGAATCATATGCTCAGTATAGATATCCTACTTCTGAAGATACAATTGATAAGGTACTTATATTATCCAATTCGGAGCAGTGGGCAGGTGTTTCGTTCTAGTATGGAACTCCTCAACAGCGCGCACCCGTGGCGCTGTCCGCCGGGGATCAAACCAGAACCTTAAGGTTCCGCAGTCAGCATCCAGTGGTCCATATTTCCTAATTCTGTCAGGTCACGATATAGCGCGACCTCCATATAGTGTCGTCGTTGAGTATCTGTCTTCATATCCGACTTGGTTGATTCCACTGCTGAAGAGTCCCATGTTGGGACGAAGCAGCTATCCAGTACCCCCAGGTTGGCAATGGTTCTCCAACTATTATCAGTCAGTGATGAATACACCGATAAGTAAGTCAATAAGTAAATCCCCACAATCTTCAAAATTGAATTAATCCTAGTGCTCATCGGTGACTAACTTCGAGAGGTGATTATTTCTGAAGTTCCAGTGAGAAGTCGCAAGTGGTTGGATCAGCCAAGTCGGATATGAGGACAGTTACTCAACGACGACATTGGATGGGGAGGTTGGGCTATATCGTAACCTATGTTAAATATTGTTCTATGACTTTGTAGTTACTTTAGAGCAAATTAATGCGTGTCAGCACCTTGACTGTTGGTCTGAATCATGCAGGGAGGTGTAGACTGCGTAACTGGGGTCCTCCAGATGATCGGAATCAATAGTTGAATAAATGCTGGTAATTTGACGGGAAATCGGCTACAGTGGCGCAGATGTGTACACTTCATGATCTGATTTATTTTTAGCGTTTTCACTAACTTCCTTATATGCTGCCATGAAGTACGATAATTTAAACTGATTTCTTCTGTATCATATCTTATGTTGATTAACTTTTCTATACTAGGAAGAGAATCACCACTACTCTTCATCCATTCATTCTTTAGTGGTTATACAACAAGTGACCACTGTCCAACCGAAATCGTATACAGTATACAGTCTCATTTAGGTTTTGGTAATTCAGTTCAATAAGGTCAATGCAACTGTTTAAAGGAGGGATTTATGCTCTAGTAGTTTGTTCAATTGTTCGACCTCATGCTGTTCAGTAGAATCAGAGTTGTATGTCTGTTATTTAGATCACTTTCTTTATTTAGTATTTTCGATCACGCTATGTCGACTTCATTATTGTTTTTCAGTGTTTAACTCAAGACGCAATTGCACTCTCGCCGGAGTCAACTGTTGAGATATATGGGACGGTGAAAAAGCTACCTGCTGGTAAGTCAGCTCCTGGAGGTATTGAACTACTTGCTGATTATTGGGCGGTGATCGGCAGAGCACCAGCTGGTGGTATTGACTCTGTATTGACAGTGGAAAGTGATATAGACACTCAGTTGGATAACAGGCACTTAGTTATTCGAGGAGAAAATGTAAGTGATATTTATCAGTCGTTGTCAACTTTGACTATATGCTCATTCTACTTTTATCACAACTTGAAGAATCTGTGAAGTGGGGGTGATGCAGATAACGCTGTTAAAGGGGATCTGCCCACTTTTACCTAGACAACGGGATAGCAAAATAAAACCATCCCAACACAATAAACGTGACTCATAATCTAGTAAATAAAGTTGTACTGACTTGAGTTGAATGTTATGTTCTCCCTCTTTAGGACTTACTCGTCAGCTGAATGTACCTGCACCCCCCAGTGATTGGTTATGTTGGTCTTACTGAGACTCTAATTTCGTACCCATCGTTTCAAGCGCTAAGGCGTTGTCTACTACGCCACTGAGGCACAATAGTCGCCTGCTGTGCAACCGGTATCATTTGTTTTTGCTTGCTACACTGAGTCGAATTGCTCAACCTCTGTTGAGTAGTCACCAAGACAAATATCGGTAATCACTGAGGTGCAGGTAAATCCAGCTGACGATTCATTTCTAAATCGGACGGAATGCGCCTCCTGGATTTCACTACTACCCACAGTCAAGTCAATTATAACAAGTATTCGGACGATATCGAGGCATCCACATAGTATCTCATATGCCAACAGAGGTTGATCAGTCCAATCCAGTATATCAGTAGAGGAGTATAAATATACCAACAAATAGTATGGTGAACATGTTTCACTGATTAACCCCAACAAAGTGTGAGGTCTCCCGTGAAGTTCACACACGAACGTACCTGGGGTGTAAACCGGCTTAATTTAGTGAGTATACCTCGAAACTTGTTACCCTTTAGTAACTGATTACGAATGCAGGTCTTCGTAGATAGTCGGCAGCAGATTATGCACACAGATTTCACGTATATCAGTGTTCACTGGTAAGATATTTTTGCAGCCTTGAAAAATCCTGCATTATCTCCAAGATTCAATTTCCCATGGCTTTCAGAAGCAGGACACGATCCAGCTGATATATTTCTAACTGATTGGTCACAACTACAATGTATCTTCTTGTTGTACCTGAGTTCCCGATAAGCAATTCGATTGATGGATTCCAATGAGTATTTTACGAAAGAGAACTACATCATTTAGTATGCAGTAACAATTTAATGAATGTGAACGTCTTTCTTCTATTTCTTGTGGAAGTTAGATTTTCAGTCTTTCGACAATTTTAAGTTGTTATTCATCGTAGACTGATATCAGTTGGAGGAACAAAGGAGACCTAGAAGCACTGGAAAGCTAGCTGTTTCGTCTTAGTATGGGACTTCTCAGCAGTGCGCACCCACGACCCCGCGACCTTCAGGTTCCGTGGCCAGCACGTTACCATTGAGCTAGCCACTGGGTCAGAATCCAATCGTCCATATTTCCAACTTCCGTTAGCTCACGATATAGCGCAACCGCCACCCAATATCATCGTTGAGTAACTGTCCTCACGACCATCACCATCATTGACAATTCTTGTAAATGACCATGACAACTATCGTCACATATGCTTTCAATCTACCTGCCTAGTCAAACAATAACAGCGGATTGGTATATAGCTAGAGTGAAATTAAGATCTGATATAAGTACTTCAGTCTTTGCATTGAACATCATCAAAAGTGAAATAACATGTTAGGCATCCTAGGCAACATCATGAATATCTGGGAGTATCTAGGCATCCACATAAGAGCCTATTTACCAACAGAGGTTGAGCAGTTTGGCCTTCTATAGCACTAAGTTGTACTGATTACATCATTTTCTGTATAAGGAAATATTTCATTCATGGTTTTCTAATAGTGCACTCTCTTCGATCCCTACATGTGCAGGTCGAAAATGATTTACGGTCTTGCGGTGAGCAGCACTGTTGTCCTTAATTCACTAAGTCGGTATTCCAGTCCCAGCATTTCTAATTTTAGTTAATTTGTGATGGAGTGTAGTCATTCTCTACATTTTCATCAGTTGACACTCATAATCGTCCTTACAGTCAGTCAGTCAACTAGTCTTAGTGTGCAATAAAAATATAGGTATTGACCGTAATGATATCAAGATAACTATACAACTTTGAGACATCCTTTATATAATCGCAATTTCCTTGTCTTGTTTGTGATATGGATAGTAGGATTTTCCATATATCCGGAACAGGTGCTGAACCATTCCTGTTGCGTGTTGTGTTAGGTGTTGATTCGATATCGGTCTCTCATTGTACCCCGCTAGTTTATTTTTACGCATTTTCACCCTGTCCCATTCTATTATGTGGCTGTGTGTAATTGCATGCAAAGTTTTTGGCCAAGCATTTTTCTAAATTCCTCATCTTACTAGGATCTTTTGAGGGAGTTGTGGAGATTTGGAAATATTTCAAGTTGTTATTCATCGTAGACTGACATCAGTTGGAGGAACAAAGGAAACCTGGGAGCACTGGAAAGCCAGCCGTTTCGTCCTAGTATGGGACTCCTCAGCAGTGCGCACCCACGACCCAGAAGTTGGAAATATGGAGCATTGGATTCTGACCCAGTGGCTCAATGGTAACGTGCTAGCCACGGAACCTGAAGGCCGCAGGTTCGATCCCTGGCGGGGTCGTGGGTGCGCACTTTTGAGGAGTCCTATACCAGGACGAAACAGCTGTCTAGTGCTCTTAGGTTTCCCTTGTTCCTCCGACTGATGTCAGTCTACTATGGATAACAACTTGAAATATTACTAAGATCTACCAGTTTTGATTTGGCCAGGCTTTTGTGCTCAGATAGCCTAACTGACCCTGACTATTCGACTACTTTGACTTATATATTTGACCTCGCATTCGTTGCAAGGGATTTGGTAAACTAAGTTATTCTGCTTAATTGGATGAATAGGATCTTTTAACCATGGGACTCCTCAGCAGTGGGCACCTATGACCCCTCCCACCCGACCAGGGATCGAACCCAGCACCTTCAGGTTTCGTGGCCAGCACGTTACCATTGACCCACTGGGTCGGAGTCCAATGGTCCATTGTTCCGACGCAGTGGGTCAACAGTAACATGTTGGCCACGGAACGTGAAGGTGCTGAGTCCGGTTCCTGGCCGGGTGGGCGGGGTCATGGGTGCTCACTGCTGAGGAGTCGTATACTAAGACGAAACAGTTGTCCAGTGTTCCCAGGTTTTCAATGTCCCTCCAACCGATGTCAGTTCATGATGAATGCACCAACCTGAAATCAATAAATAAATCTCCATAAACTTCCCAATTGAATGTAATTGTTTTTCTAACCATTTAGGGATACGCTCTACTAACCTCAACTTCATAGTTCGATTACTCTTCCCGAGGTATTTATCACTGCACACACACACACATGTAAATTGGTATACACAGTGGGTTGTGACGTAATCATCCGTGTAGGGATGCGATTTATTTTGAAGAGTAGATTTTGTTTTCTCTATAATTCTGAGCTTGGCTGGATGGTATATCTTTTTAATAACGGAATTAAGCCTTCGTCTTAACATCATGCTGTTTGATTCCCCCTTCGATGGTAGTGGGATATAAGTGTTTTTCTTTGGGACAGAATACGGATTATAGTAATGGTGGATACTGGCTAGCTGTGGAATCCAGGATGCACATCTCCTCCCATTTGGGACTCGTCAGCTGGATGTATCTGCCTCCCAGTGCCGAGTGGTGTTGTTCCCATCGAGTCCGAATCCGGTGGGAACAATATCACTCACTGGGAGGCAGGGACATCCAGCTGATCAGTGAGTCCCGAATAGGACTGAATGCTCATCCTGGATTCCACTGCTAGCCACTATCCATCATTACTATACATAATTAGAACACTAGCAATATCGAGGCATCCGAACAGGAGCCCATATGCCAACAGAGACTGACCAATTCGGTCCAATCAACGACGGTGTAGTACAAGCAATAACACTAGAATACTGATTAGTTCACACCACTGAGACATTTTGATAACGATTGATGAACTTCAGTGGATATGCTTTTTCCATGAGTGTCTCTGTTAAGAATTTATATTCCTCTTCCAATGTATCTATCTGTTGCGCATATACATTGGGTCTTTTTGAATAAGCATTTTACTAAACATCGTTTGTGTTATGTTTGACGGGAACAATAAAAGTTTAGGTACTCTCATCTCATATTTTTTTCCCATTGTAGTAACCATAAATTCTTGGTGTCGACTGGGTATAATTTATTATTTTCTCTATTTATTTTTGACTACTAGACTGCAAAAATGCTTAGATTGGTCAATATCGCATTGTCTGCCTTTCGTGCGCATTACGCTGATCGTGGTTATATTGAAGTAGGTTCAAGATGTTTTTTCATACCTCTTCGATTCGCCTTCTCTTAGTTATTTCTATTGTAAAATAATCAATTACCAGGGATTCAGTAATTGTTGTTTCATACCATTGTGATTTGGACTGACTAGTTGGAAGCATGTATTCTTTATCTCACAGTTAAGTAACATATCTGTTATATGAGTGCCTATATTCCTTTATATTCCAAACTTACCATTTGTATACTTTGAACTTGTTTTCTTCGTGCGACTTTTCCGAACACGGGCCACATTTCGTATAACCCGCTAGCGTTCTGATTGGCTGATGCCTCTTTAAATGTACCAATTATTCCTTGTCTGTCAAGGTTACTGTAAACTCTATAAGTAGGGTGACTTTTAGACACTGTAAACTCTATATTAAGAAGCTGAGAGTATCTAATATAATTCAAATTCTTCTCATGTGTTTTATCAACTTCTACATCTTGCCTGTTCTCCCTTTCTCTTTCTTGGGTTACTGAAAATATACTATGCTGTATTGCATAGAAGTAGTCTACCTCTAAACCTTTTAATTGTGAAACTGTTGTCGACAAACATATTAACTCATACAAATATTTGACAGGAGTTATTTCATCAAATGACCAGTATCCTCTTCAATCAAAGATATCTCCACGTATCGGTCATTTGGAAAGACAAGAAGCATGTATATACGACTTTATCCATATACTACTAAATATAAAACCCTTATAATGCCGTGTTTAGCTCGTTTCCTGTACGATGAAGAAAGTATTAGAAATGAACTAACACTAATCAACTTTTATTTTTGAAAGCAAACTAACTGATGAGTATACAGCATATCACTATTTATGTATTATAAATCTAATTGCTAATATGGTCTCGGAACAAAGTTAACTCGGCATTTTCAAGAAAATTGAAGAATGAATAAATATTATCATTTGACTATTTGAGATAACCGTAGTTTGGTAGACTAGTACTGAAGATGAAATGAAAATTTTAAACCACAGCCGGATTCGAACCACCGATCACAGGGTTTTGCAGCTTGTTGCTCTCTACCAACTGAGCTACGAGGTTCGATCGCTTACCACATTTTTATTTTATTTCAATCATCAAGGGTTTTGCCCGGTGACTATCATGTGAATACTTGATGCATTGCTACCGCTTGATCATATTCACACTGGCTGCCAACCAGTCAAAACTTCTCACCCCCAATCCAAATCTAACTGAATCAAGCGGTAGTAACGTGTCACGAATTCACATGATAGTCGTCGGACAAAAATCCCTGGGCGACTGAAGTGAAGTAAAAATGTGGTGAACAGTCGGACCTCGTAGCTCAGTTGATAGAGTAACGAGCCGGGAACCGGGTGGTCGCTGGTTCGAATCCGGCTGCGGTCCAAGTTTTTATCTCATCTTCAATCATCACCCAGTATGAGTGAATATTCTTATCTTTTATATATAACGCATACTTATTTCATCTTGCTGTGTATGCACATTTACTGCTTCTGTCCAATTAGTGCTATATGACATCCTGAAAATTTTGTAGAGCAGTCCCGAAATAACTTTCAGAATAAAGGCATTATTATTGTTGTTCTTATTACTATGATTATTATCATAACTATTTATTGATATGCTTGTAATTCTCCGTTGTTTTATTGTATTGAATCGTTCGACCGATATTGGCATATTGACTCCTATGTGGATGCCTCGATATTGTTTGAATGTTAATCATAGTAATTTACTTGGTGGTGGCTAGCAGAAGAATATAAGATGCGTTTCGTCCTATTTGGGACTGGTCAACCGGATGTGCCTGCACCCTAGTAAGTGATGTTGTTCGTACTGAGACTCGAACCTCGTATACATCGCTTCAAACTCCATGGCGTTATCCACTATGCTATGGAGGCACATCCAGCTGACCAGTGCGAAACAGGAAGAAACGTGCGTCCTAGATTCTTCTGCTAGCCACGACCAAGTAGATTACCGTTATTATTATTATTACTTTGTGTTCCATTTTGACTTTATTAAAAGTGATTGTGTCAAATTTTACTGCTTAGTTTATTTTTCCTGACATTAGGTGTTACCGCCAACATTTGTCCAAACTCAAGTTGAAGGTGGTGCTACTCTGTTTTCTTTGAATTATTTTGGTGAGACTGCATTCATGTCTCAATCATCTCAGTTGTATTTGGAAACGTGTATACCAGCAGTAGGTGATTGTTATTGTATTACACGCAGTTATCGAGCTGAGAAAGTGAGTTCCATATACAATATTCTGGTTTAATGAGATTATTTGTCATTTGTTTGAACTATGCGGAAATGCTCAAGTTGAACTGAAACATTTTGTTTACTTGTGCTTTGTTTTTGAAAACTCAGTTAAAGGTGAAAAAGGATACTGGTTCATACAACTCAGCTAGCCAGATTCAATTTATTTTAACAACTTGGCTTTCTCTAAGAGCTGAATTTGTTCGGGTACACCGTTCATGTCCATGTGGAGTATGGCGGATATATACTGCCTGATTGGGTTCCTTGAGACGATAGTAATCAGTGTTTGATAACTCTTCGGGACATACCTGTATCCCTTATATTCTTTACTTACAATTTCTGTATATTTAGACTGTTTTTCTTCACGATTTCTTTCTGATGCATGAATTACACTTCATATAACCCGCTAGCTTTCTGATTGGCTGATGCCTCTTTAAATGTACTAATTATTCCTTGTCTGTCAAAGCTAATGAAAACTCTATAAATAGGGTCACTCCTAGGCACCGTAAACTCAATTGATTGTCAGTTCCCTGATTTCTCTCCACGAAACACTCCGGTTGAATCATCTCAACCCTCAATAATTATTATCATTCGTTCTCACAACTCCACATCGTAACAATGGTGACAGGGATGATTTTGTGGTGATTGATGATTCGAAAATTGAATATGTGTTAGAACAGCAGTTCAATGTAATCGAAGTTTTTGCTAGTAACAGGGTTACTATTGGTTCTGCTGCACCACCATCCTCTTCACCTGCTCCCAGTTTGGGTTGTTCGATTGATGGATTGGTTAGTAGGATGAGTGAGTTTCTATACGATGCCAGAGACTAATGTAACTTTGGACACTTGGTATAGACGTTTAGAAGACGTTTTCTAATTTGATTTTACTGGTGAGAACGATGAATGGAAAGTGTGTTGTTTGCTCCGGAGACTTGGTGCAGTAGCAGAACTTGTTATTTACTACTACAGTATCATCCTATCTGAGAACTCAAGCGAATGCACATTAAACGAGATAATGAAGTCGTTGAGTCAACATTGTGACTATTATTTATTTGTCCTTAACATTCACTTCTGATATATAAAGCTGAGAATGAATGGATCACACATTGAAGCCGTGAATCGATAAATTGGACGATTTCGACTGAATTTATTATTTGATGACTAATTCAAATCACTGATCCTCATATACAGTTTTCATTACACGAAACCTAACTCTCTTTGCAAATCACTCAGGTTGAACCATTTCAACTCTCGACTTGTCGTTTGTTCTTACAACTTCGCATCGTAATACTTAGCTTCAACGCAGCGAAATAGTCGTCTGGGGGTTTAAACCTGCATCGCAAATGTTACAGATTGAGTAAAAAAGGTTGACATTAGATATAGTTTGTATAAGTCACAGCGTGTTTGAAATGAAATGAATTCCAACATTTTGGATGCAAATCTGGCCCTAACTTGTTCCTTTGTTGACTGAGTAAAGGAATCTTTTCTTCGAATGATGAACTTTCAACTGTTGATTAAATTGTACAGATATCTACCATTTAACTATATGAGATGTAAAGTGAATAATTTTTTTCAAGGTTTCTTTCTCTTTGAAATGAACATTCAAGCAGTTGGGTGTTTACATCATTTCTGTAGGTTATCAAGTTATTTCATTGTTCATTTCAATTTCAGTGCTCACTTTCTGATTGATTTTTTAGAGTAGAACACGACGTCATTTATCCGAATATAATCATGTTGAAGCTGAATGTCCATTTATTGATTTGAACGGTCTACTGGAACGGATTGAAGATCTTGTTGTCGATGTCTGTGATCGTATCATAAAACAAGCCGGTGATCTACTTTTAGACGTTAATCCAGTTAGTTTATTTACTTATTGTTAAAATAATCTTTTTTGCATATCCTGTTCAGTTGTTTGTTGTGTTGTGATCACTAATGGTTTTATTCAGTGTTTGTTGTTGTTGTTATTGTACTAAGTTTTGGGATTTCTGTATTTATTATGATACTGTTTGTAGGAATTAGTTCATTCCATAGATATGACATGCATCATCCTGGAGAGACTAAAGGATGCGCTGGATTCAAAACTACGACCTGAACAGGCTGGCTAGATTCAGGAAGTACAAATCATGTGCGGATTGAATTGCAACGCTACGCATCATCATAGAACAGAGTATAGAATGGTAGTCCATTGAATATCTACCTCAACTTCATCGACTTTGATAAGGCCCTCGACAGCGTCGACCGAGAAATAATTTGGCAGTTGCTTCAACACTACGGAATACTGCAAACCTTTATCAATCTCATTCAACAACTATATGAAGAGGCCACTTGCCAAGTAATTCACAATGGGAAGCTCAGTGACGACTTTCGAGTGAAGTGAAGACAGCAGTAAGACAAATCTGTCTACTATCACCCATGATATTCCTGATTTTGGTGGACTTGATCATGCAACAAACAGTGAGGAGCGAGAAGAGGGGGATACGCTGGACCGATGAAAAGAACCCAGCGAAAACGGGACTTCAAGTGAACGTAGAGAAGACAGAGGTAGAGGTGATGACGATACCCAACCAACAACAACAACAAGCTCAAATCACCATGAACAGGAGAAACTTAGAGGAAGTAGTCCCTTTCACCTATCTAGTCAGTACCATTTCAACTACAGGCAACACAGGCACAGATGACGACGACGTCAAAGCCAGCCAGGATCGGAAAGACAGCAAGACAGGTGTTCATTAACCTGAAACCAGTATGGATATCTTCCACACTCAGTATAAAGAACAAGATCTGCATTTTCAACATCAACGTCAAGTCAGTGCTTCTGTATGACTCAGAGACTTGACGCGTTATACGAAAGGCGTTTCCAACAAACTACAGACATTCATCAACAACTGTCGTCTACACTGGCTCGATACTGAAGCTCAAATGGCCAGAATAATCAGAATAAGCAAGAAGGAACTCTGACTAGCAAAGAACCAACCAAGAACCTATAGCTGAACAAATATGCACTGGAAGGAAGAGGAGGTGGATTGGGCAGGTACTGAGAAGACCATTCGGGGACATCACGCGTCAGGCCAGGCTGTCGGGTGGAACCCAGATGGGAAACGACGAGTTGGGCGTCCAGGGCGAGGGTGGCATGGGGGAGATGATGTGAGGAGGAAATGACAGCTAATGGGCTGTCGTGGAGCCAGGTTCAAAAGATTGAAGAGAAGAGAGTGGAACGGAGAGGTGCTACTGAAGCCCTATGTTTCACTACGAACCCAAGGGTCAAATAATAATAATAATAATAATAATAATAATAATAATAATAATAATAACGGATATGACATTATATTGTGTTGCTAGGTTAATCTCTTGGATTGCTCCTTTTATCAAATTATTTCCGCAAAAGACAGGTGATTTTTAACCAATAGGTTGCGTATTTGAGCCGAACTCCACCTCCTGAAGTTTGGGCTAGCAGGTAGGCAGTATCCTTAACCCCTGCACAACATTTGAACAATATAAGAACAAAGACATTTGCGGAATAAAATTAGCTCATTTTATTTCATAGCCTTTCATCAGCTGCAAACAGCTTGGTGGAGTCATAAGTACGCCGAGTCCCATGATAAGACGAAACGTCTGCCGTCTAATGCTCCCAGGTTTCCAATGTTCCTCCAACTGATGTCATTTCATAATGAATAACGACTTGAAATATCACTAAATCCACACAAACCCCCCTAATTCAGTTGACCTGCTACTCATTAGTGACTAGCTTAGAGAGGTGATTCCTGAGGTTCCAGTGAGAGAAGTCGTGAAGACAAATACTCATTGGTTGATGGTCACGCTATGTCGTCAACTGACAAAAGTTGGGAATATGGACCATTGGGTTTCGCCGACCCTATGGCTTAATAGTAACGTGTATTGGACACGGAACCCTAAAGTGCTGAGTTCGATCTTTGACTCGTGGTTGGGGTCATGCGTGTGCACTGCTGACGATTCCTATGCCAGAACGAAACAGCTTTCCAATGCTCCCAGGTTTTCAATGTTCTTTCAACTGATGTCAGTCCATGATGAATATCAACATGTTCTTGTATTGTTCAAATTTGTCAAGGGAACTAAATGTATAGCAACTCATATAAAAAGGCGTGGCTCACTGCCTACTGCACGAATGTGCACAAGGTTGATGAGTGTATTTCATTTCATCTTTAGGTGATCAACAGTAGGTCATGAACCTGTTTTTGTACGCTTCAGTTAATCATCATAAGCCAGTCATTCATGCAGCCTCGATGAAATCCATTATTCTCTTTTGATTCGGATATGGACTATTCGCAGTCAAATTCACCTCACTCCTTTCATGATCGGAATTATGTAGATAATTTGATTGCCAACTTTCACTGATAGTATTTTAGTAGTGAATCTTGTCTGAGTCCTAGCAGCATGTATTCATAATTTTTTCGAACCTTCTCCATTAGTCTCTGCTATCTCTAGTTTGTCACATCCATTTACTAGATCTTTCTCTCATTGAAATCATACATTACATACAGATGCATCTCTTGACTCAAGTTTCTTTTTCAATGTTGAGGATCTTGTTAGACAACTGGTTCAGTTCACACAAGAAGAAAATGTTCGACTGAAGTGAATTTACTTCTCAATAGAAGTATGAAGGTATCAGTTCAAAGACATAACTCTTGCATCTATACAGAATGCAAGCATTGTTCAGATGAGCAGACGGAATAGTATATTAAAAGTGAGAGATTAACCAATAAGAAAACAGCATTCTTTAAAGCGGTAAAATTGAGTGATACGTGTGGGCCGGGAAAAAGATAGTTCAACTTTTCGCCAAGGGATAATTTAAAACCTTGTATGCTCTATGTATTAAAATCTTTACTTTTATTATTATGATTTAGTTTTTTGAGCAAACGATCACTTGAGTGTGGGTTAAGGCGAATTAAATATTCATCTATGATACTGAACTCTGACTCATTTTGCTTAAGTGAGTGGCTGCTTACAAACCTTCAAGTAAAAGAATTTCGTAATGCGGGACTGTAATCGTGAACAATTCACCAAATGTGCAGCTTGATGACTAACAGTGGAATCCAGGACTCGCGTTTCGTCTTATTTGGGACTCGTCAACCGGATGTACCTGAATCCCAGTGAGTAATGTTGCCCGCACTGAGAATTGGACCTATTTACTTCAATGTACAATCTATGCTGATATTAAATTGTTACCATTCCTTTTATTGGTAATTATCTTTTAGGAATTTAAGGCTCCCAAGAGTCCTTTTAAACGTTTGAAATATGAAGATGCCATTGCTCAGTTAAACAATCTAGGTATTCTGAAAGAGGATCTAACAACTTTTGAGTTTGGTGATGATATTCCTGAAGCTCCAGAACGCCGACTTGTGGATACAATTGGAGAACCAGTGCTGTTGACTAATTTCCCTGCTGGATTGAAAGCATTTTATATGTTACGAACTGAAGGTGATCGCCGGCTAACCGACTCAGTAAGCTTTTTTATTTGTGCAACTTTGCCAAGCATTTTCCCCGCACTTTGCTTTAAAACTAATGGGTAGTTGTTTTTTTTTAGTGTGCTGTATTATGAAGTTATGAGAAAATCTCTCAACTAGTTACTCTCATTATAATTTCTCGTATCCACTTTTTACTAGTGATATTTTCCAAATTATTCGATCAAATTTAAAGGCTATCCTGTCAACTGTTGAGATAACCAATTACGCTTCCTTTTTTTGAGAAAAATTACTTTTCTAGTTGAAATACCGGGACTTGATTGGTTCTTTCTAGCGGTTGCCCGGGTGACCTTGAAGTCGTCCAATTATTGGGTGACTTTATAGGTTACCCTAGCAACTGCTGAATTGACCAATTAGATTCCAGAATTCCGTCTGGGAAAGAAGTTTCTCATGGGATAAGTGAAATTTATTGGTTGTCTCAGCAGTTGTTAAGTGTGATGGCTTTTAAGGTCACTCTGCAATATGAGTACATATATTATTGGGTTCGGTTAGGGCTTATGCATTTCACAAGCGTCCGAATTTCATTGTTTATCCTGTAGAATAATTTAAGACTGCCATCTGTTGGGATAAATTAAAGTACTGATTTTCACTAATCAGAGCATATTATATAAAGATGTGAAAAATGAACTCAAGAGAAATGGTTTTTCTATGAAGCGGGAATAATTCAGTTCACTTTGCATGGGAAAACAGTGACTATTATTGATGAATATTGTTTGGTAGTGAAATCCAGCTTGGGACTCGTCAGCTGGATGTAACTACCTCTCAGTTCCCACTAGGACATCAAACACTGGCTAGTTACATGATGTTACTAACTATTCTACTGGTAACTATTATTTATATTTTAGGTTGATCTGTTGGTTCCAGGCGTTGGTGAACTAGTAGGCGGTTCAATGCGTATGGATAACATTGATGAATTGTTCAATGGGTACAAATCAGAGGAGATCGATCCAGCTCCATATTATTGGTATACAGACCAGGTAATTTTTGTGTTGCAAAGAATTTGTTGGTTGTTATATGATTCTCGTATTGAATTGAAGTTCACTGCATACTTCAGACCACTACCACTACTATTAAACTCTGTCTTCATTAACGTGTGTGTCGATGCAGTAGGCAATAAACCACACATATTGTGTTGGAGATTGAGGATACCACTTGGCTGTCCACACCTTGGCAGGTGGAGCGTGGTTCGAACTTGCGATTCACTGGTCCATAGTTAACTATCTAGGCTAATGAGCCACAGTACCACCACTATTTCAGACCACAACACCGGTCATAGTCTTGGCGACCAAGGTTCCCTAAACAACTAGTAGATTCATTGACTGAACGTCTTAGTATACTGTACTTGAAATAAGTAATCTTCAATATTTGTTACTTGTTCTGCTCTTTCAGCGAGGAATTTGAATGTATCAAATACTTATGAAGATATCTCCGTCTTTTTTCTGACAGTGGCAGTGGCGCTGTGGCTCAGTAATTTTAATTGGCCTCCAGCCATTATTGAGTCGCCCTGTATCTAGTCGGATCCTGAATGGAACATTGAGATAGGCCCTCCAACACTTGCAGAAGTCGAGAAAGCTGTAGGTAACTTGAGACAAGGAAGGGCAGCAGGACCAGATGGACTACCTGCTGGGGTATACAAGGATGATGGTAGAGTGCTCTTAGTCAGGTTTACCGAAGTGTTAACTAGTATATGGGAGTCAAATACGATCCCCTCTAACTGGTCCAAATCACTGATTATTCCAGTCTTCAAGAAAGGTGAGAAGTCCTCTTGTGATAACCACAGAGGAATCGGCCTGACGAACATAGTATCTAAAGTTCTAGGCTTCATAATTCTTCGAGGCCTGAGTGGAGCTCGGGAACAGTAAGCCTGAGAAAACTAGGCAGGCTTTAGACCTGGCCGCGGGTGTATCGACCAAATATTCACACTGCTCCAGGTTCCGGAACACAAGCACGCTTATCGACGCCCGACACTAGCTGTATTTCTCGACCTGAAGGCGGTGGCATTCGACTCCGTTGATCGAGAAGTCTAATGGTAATATCTTTTTTTGAAAGGCGTGCCGAGTAATTACATCACCTTATTGGAGGCTCTCTACTCGAACACTCATGAGCGTGTTAGAGCCTATGGTGAAGTGTCCGGGAAGCTGTGATTGTCGGGCGGTATCCGTCAAGGGTGCCCACTCTCACCATTCTTATTCAATTTCATCACAGATATTCTTATGGAGGTTTCCGTTTCGTCACCTCACTACACAGAGGTTGACCTAATCGGTGAAGGATTTTCATGAGACCTAGAATATGCAGATGGCATAGTCCTGTTAGGTGAAAACGCTGACAAGATGCAGTGTTCTGGACACTCTGAGTGTCAATTTGAGAATGTTTGGGATGCGTTTCTTACCACCGAAATGCAAATTGTTGCTCAAGGGTGCTACAGCTAACAATAGAGAGTGAAGTGGTTGAATGTGTCAACCAGGGAAGCGGGATCATCCCTAGTTTTTCAGTGGCCGATGAAATCTCTGCACGGTTATAAAAGACTCGACTGGCTTTTGCCAACTTATACCATCTGTGGCGCGGCCTTAATATCCGATTAAGGGTCGCGCGTACTGCACATGCACAGCAGTCCGCTCTGTTCTACTGTATGACTGTGAAACATGGTCATTGAAGGTGGAAGACATGGGAAGGCTTCAGGTACTTGGCTACCGTTGCCTTTGTAGTATAAGCTGTATTCCATGGTGCCGCCATGTGAGTAATGCAGAAGTCAAGTATAGAGTTTTGGGGAGAAGAGGTAAGTCAGTTAACGAGGTTGTGAATCTTCATCGACTGAGATGGTTGGGACATGGGTTACGTATGCCCAATCACCGATTGCCTCGTCACACAATGTTGGTGGAAGTGGGTTCAGGCTAGAAAAGGCTCGAGGTGGCCAGACTAAAACATGGCATCAATGTGTGACTGTTGGTTTGAGCCATGTAGGGTGGTGCAGACTAAGCGGTTGGGGTCCATGGGACCACAGAAATTAGTGGTTAGAGACGGACTCTAGGTTATATGGTTCAGAATCGTTGTTAGTGGCGCAGATGTATGCACACCTTATCCTCATTTTAACACTGCCGAATCTCACCACTTTCTCGTTCTTGCTTCCTCTCTTTTTGTACTTTATGTTTCTTTTGATTGAATTTTTACTTGTTCATCTTGGACTTCACTGCATTTATACTTGATGTACGGATATGAGGTGTGGCGGCAACTTGGACCGTTACTCAGTAATGCCTTATCCTATGTTGATTTGGATGGATGGATGGCTCAGTAGTTTGTAGAGATGACTATCAACTAGTGAGCCATGGAATCGAACCCCGCTCCATCTACTGATGTTTGGGCAGCCAGGTTGTATTACTAACCCTTGCATACAATAGGTGTAGCTGTACCATTGCTTACTGCACGGATGTGGACAGGGTGACTGATTGTGTTTCGTTTCTTTCGTTCACATAGCGGTAACGCTTTATGACTCATTTCTCATTTTCCTTCTTCTTATTCATCTCCGTATACTTACTCAAGGTGTAGCAGCGCTGTATCGTATGTCTATGATGTATATTCAGTAATATATCCTTTAAACACTAGAGGATGTTTCACGTACTGCTGGTTCTATGTTCTACCAAAGGATACGCGAAACTGTTATTCGATATCTCTATTTTGCTACAGTCATTAAGTATCATGTATTTATTTACTGGATAGAACAATTACTTCTTACTTGAACCGCTTTTTGCGTGAAGCGATTGATGATAGATTATCCTTCTATCAGCAGAATCTGTGTTGACTCTCATAGTTTGCAATAGTCGCGTAACGACAATAAGTGAGGATGACACATTTATTCACTTAAGAATTAAAGTATAATTGGAGACGCATCACTTTGTTTTGCCTTTAGCATTTCAGGTGGTTCGCATATGTGTTGCACATGCTGAAGCCACTGCCTACTTCAATGTGCCATGCTACGGGAATCTAGATTAGATTGGAAGAGGGTTCATGGTGGTCAGATCTGGTACCAATGGATGACGTTTATGACTGTTGGGAGATGTAGACTGTGTGTGTGTCTGGAGCTCCTGAGACTATAGGAATCAGTAGTTGAGGACTCTCGGTGAAATGGCTGAAAATCGGTCATAACGGTGCAATTGTATTCACTCCTTGACATCTTCTTAAGCTTAAGTATTGGCACTAACCTTCATTTTTAAATTGTTTACTCTCCTACACAACTTTGTCTACTATGATATTAATCCCTTTGTATCCACAGTGAGGTATGACAACTTGAAACGGTGTACTTGTCTATGAGGTTCTACGTGGATTTTGTCTCTCCATCTGTCTATTTTGACTATGAATGTGATGATCTTCTTGGTCAACTTTCTCAGCTAAAAATCAATGGATGTTTCTTTCATTCTTATCAAAGTTAACTAAGTACTAGCCTCCATGGTTGAAATATGAACAAAATGTATTCAATAGACGTCGGAATGCCGTTAGTTTCAATCCAGTTACCAGTGATTACACTAATAATGATATTATTATGATAATGGTTATTATTTGACCCTTGGGTTCGTAGTGAAACATAGGGCTTCAGTAGCACCTCTCCGTTCCACTCTCTTCTCTTCAATCTTTTGAACCTGGCTCCACGACAGCCCATTAGCTGTCATTTCCTCCTCACATCATCTCCCCCATGCCACCCTCGCCCTGGACGCCCAACTCGTCGTTTCCCATCTGGGTTCCACCCGACAGCCTGGCCTGACGCGTGATGTCCCCGAATGGTCTTCTCAGTACCTGCCCAATCCACCTCCTCTTCCTTCCAGTGCATATTTGTTCAGCTATAGGTTCTTGGTTGGTTCTTTGCTAGTCAGAGATCCTTCTTGCTTATTCTGATTATTCTGGCCATCTGAGCTTCAGTATCGAGCCAGTGTAGACGACAGTTGTTGATGAATGTCTGTAGTTTGTTGGAAACGCCTTTCGTATAACGCGTCAAGTCTCTGAGTCATACAGAAGCACTGACTTGACGTTGATGTTGAAAATGCAGATCTTGTTCTTTATACTGAGTGTGGAAGATATCCATACTGGTTTCAGGTTAATGAACACCTGTCTTGCTGTCTTTCCGATCCTGGCTGGCTTTGACGTCGTCGTCATCTGTGCCTGTGTTGCCTGTAGTTGAAATGGTACTGACTAGATAGGTGAAAGAGACTACTTCCTCTAAGTTTCTCCCGTTCATGGTGATGGGAGCTTGTTGTTGTTGTTGGTTGGGTATCGTCATCACCTCTACCTCTGTCTTCTCTACGTTCACTTGAAGTCCCTTCTTCGCTGCCTCACCTGTTCTGTCAACTTGTTAGTTTTCGCCTGTAGATCTTCGAGTTTGTGTGACATTAGACACGAGTCATCGGCGAAATCCAAATCTTCTAGGATCAATAATGATAATGGTGATAGAAGTTGGAAATTGTGAACCACTGGAAACCGACCGAGTGGCTGAATAGTTAACTCGTTCGCTGTGAAACGTGAAAATCCTGAGTTCGATCCCTCGCCGGGTCGTGGGTGTGCGCTGCTGAGGATTCTCCTACTAGGACGAAACAAGTGTCCAGTGCTTCCAGATTTCCAGTGCTTCCCTAACTGATGTCAGTCCGTGATGAATATTACTTGTAAATTAAAAATCCCGATTCATCCCAAAAAATTAAGAATGATAATGGAACTGTCTATCAAATGGTAGTTGAATTGTTTTACCATCTTTTACTATAGATTTCATCATATTATTATGTTTATATTTCACAGCGCAAATTTGGGACCTGTTCACATGGTGGTTATGGATTAGGCTTTGAAAGATTTTGTACCTGGCTTCTAGGTAAAGATCATATCCGTGATGTATGCCTGTATCCTCGTTTCACCAGTCGATGTCGTCCATAAATTTTTATTCAAATTGCATGTGTCTCTTGTTATGCGCGTGTTTACATTAGTTTTGTTCTATGAAATTTCATGTCAATGCTTCTACCATTTCTATATAGCTGACTTTATTTGTGTATTGTGTACTCACTGTTTGTTTGCTTGAAGATTTATGTTGTTGTGAATACTACCTACCTTCAGTTAAAACTTCATGCAATTTTTGTCTTTGTTCAGAATAAAATGAATATGTTCTTGAACAATGATTGATGCTCTTGTTTCATGATTTCATTTATACATACTGTTTTGATGAAACTTGTAGTTTACAATTTGTAATGGATTACTTCTAACGGACAGACAATTTTCAGGTATGCGCATGTCCTGCAAAAACGATGGAAGAGTGAAAATCTCGTGGATGCATCCGTACTCGGATCACAAGCTTGACTTGTTTTCTCGAGCCGCTTTTAGGTATTGGATGACTAGGAAGTCTAAGATCTTAGGAGCGGTGTTAATTAAACTGATTCCTCCGTAGTTGTCACAAGAAGACTTCTGCTTTTGTAAATTGCGAAAATGAACGATCTAGAGGAGTCTGACGGGACTATGTCTTATTGTCATACACTAGGTGGCACATTTGTCAGTGTATTTAATAATGTTTCTCTCTGCTTCCTTGAAAGTCGTCTGTTCGTGTCAGATCTTATTGCTTTATAACATTTCATCTTTGAAACAGACCTGTCAACTTTGGGGGTGTACGCTTACTTCTCATTCAGGTGAGGATTGGATGCTGGGCAACTGAAGCGTGACTCTGTAGACCAGTTCGACTTGTTAAGGGGGTCATATATCCCCTGTATTTCATACCTAACACTTATACTTCAACAGTTTCTGTTCACCCTCTTTTTCTCACATGTGGGTTACACATGTCATATAGCCCACTAGTGCTCTGATTGACTTCTGCCACTTTTCATATATACTGGAAAGATGAAACCATATCTTTTCTCCTTGTTAGGGATACAATGCATTACAAAACCGCATTCACAGTTTAGACTTCTCGCTAGCAATCTAACTCACCTCAAGTGACCCACAACGTCATAATTCATTAAAGTTTATGGAGCATCAAAAATGTCGTAAACAGATGTAGCGAATGATGGATGACCTTGGATGCAACAGATCCAACCTTATTGGTTACCTTCAAGGTTTCCAGTCACTGAAACAAGCATCCAGTGTTACATTAGCATCTCGTTTCAACTGGGGAATGATTAAAAAAAATCGTGTACAATTTTAGTGATGATAGTTCAATCAACCATTACAAAAATCTGCCAGTCGATATGTACATCCTAGGAATGTTAATGTGCTGTACTTTTGTGCATTTATAAAACTATTTCTATCCGGTGTAATGCTTTTCTGTATTATGTTTTTAGCTTGAAGCAAATTCAAAGGGAAGAATTTGATAATATGTACTTGGTGTTAGTCCAAAGCTTAAGCAGACCAGCAACACATATGAAAGGTCAATATAAGTTCACATACTGAGAAATACTCAGCGTTAATGATCTGCTACTGGTCAGACAACATAGAATCAAAGTCAAAACTGATGGTTATATGAAACTGTAGTTATAAGACAGGAAAACTAGTGTACAATAGTTTGTTAGTCATAGTAGCAAGTGAAATTATTGTCATGAATAATGAATACTCATCAACTTGTAACGAAAGTTGTATAAAAATTACTAGATTCCTTTTAAGGCATTGAGTAGTATCATAAGTGGTAAGATTTAGTCAAAAGAAAGAGCATAGAAACAGAATATATAGAGAGAAACTGGTTAAGAAGTGTACAGAATAAAGACATGAAGTGATTTTAAAGTAAACAGACAAATAAAACAAAAAGCTGATTTTTATATTGAAATCATGAGAAAAAAAGGGAGCTGAACAAGCTTCATTTGTGTACTTAGGTGAAATTTTTCGAAATGGATGGCTACACTCTGGATCAAGTAGAAGGTTAACAAACTAATTTTCGATAAATAATAAAGTCTATTCATGTGTAGATGTCTCAGTATTTGTTGTTGTATAATATCTAATATCATTTGGATGCGTTTATTACGTTTAATTCACTTGAAACACAAGGATGACTATGATAAAACTATATCTAGGAAGATGGTGAATCCAATTGTAATTGCCAGATGACTTGGATACTGAACGATGTCAATGTATCATAATTTTATAACTCCTCAATGCTTGTTGATTGATAATAATTCCACTTTTATTGTTGTCATAGCCGATAACTGTTAAATATGTTCAGTATGTGAAAAGGCTGTCGACTGAGTAGTAATTTGGCAGGCAGCTGCTTCAACACTCCGGAGTACCACAAATCTTTATCAACCTCATTCAACAGCTAAATGATGACACCATATGCCATGTGATTCACAATGGAAAGCTAAGTGACACCTTTGAAGTGAAGACAAGAGTAAGACAAGGCTGTCTACTATCACCTGTGATCTTCCTGATTGTGGTCGACTGGATCATGCAGCAAACCGTGAGGAGCGAGAAGATGAACATACGCTGGCTGTTTGACTGATGAAAAGAGCCTAGAACATTTGGATTTTGCCAATGATGATTTATGCCTAATGTTACACAAACTCGAAGATCTACAGGCGAAAGCTAACAAGTTGACAGAAGAGACAGGGCAGGGCAGCGAAAATGGGACTTCAAGTGAATGTAGATATGATAGAGGTGATGATGATACCCAACCAACGCCATCATCACCAACAACAGCAAGCACCAATCACCATTAGCGGGAGAAACCTAAAGGAAGTAGTCTCTTTCACCTACCTACATACCTAGGAGACAGCATCGTTACAACTACAGGCGGCGGCACAGACGAGGACGTCAAAGCCAGCCACTATCGGAAAGACAGCAAGACAGGCTTTCATTAATCTAGAATTACTGTGGAAGTGGAACAAGATCCAGATTTTCAACACTAATTCAGTCAAGTCAGTGCTTCTATATAGTTCAGAAACTTGGCACGTCACGAAAAGCACTTCCAGCAAACTACAGACATTCATCAACAACTGTCTACTCTAGCTCGATACTGGAGATCAGATAGCTAGAACAATAAGAATAAGCAACAAGGAACTCTGGCTAGCAATGAACCAACCAAGAACCTATTACCCAACAAATATGCAGAAGAGGGAAGTGGAGATAAATTGGATTGGCAAACACTGAGAAGGCCGATTGGAGACACCATGCGCCAGGCCATCGAGTGGAATTCAAAGGTGAAACGACGATTTGGGCGTCCGAAGCGAGGGTGACATGGAGGAGATGGTGTGACGAATAAATGAAAGCTTATGGGAAGTCGTGGAGCCATGTTGAAAAGACTGCAGATAAGAGAATGCAATGGGGACGTGCTACTGAAGCCGAATGTTCCACTAGGAACTCAAGGGACAAATAATAATAATGTGGAACTTGCAAGACGTTAAAGAGCAGTTACTACTAATGCGTGACCATTTTTTCTTTCTTTCAAAAGTCCTTGTAAACCTTTTAATAACTTCAGGAGTATAATTGTAAAATCCATAAAAGGGAATTCAAATCCTTCGTAGTGTTGTCATATTATAGTAGGGGCTACTGATCAGAATGAATATAAGTGGTATATCTTGAGGTGGCGGCAGAAATCATGGGCGATTTCCAGCAGTGGGTAAAGATTCTACCCAGAGAAACGCAAAAGACACTTGACGTACTAAGAGCGAAGCGAGATAGATGTAGGAGAGAAAATGAATCATATTGTGCAAATAACTATTTTAATGGAAGGTGATGACTACTGTACAAGATGTCAATAATAAACACTGCTTCCTGCACCTCAGTTTTCTTATTTCCTACAACTGGTGTCGCTGCTTCTGGACCTTATGAAGATCCCGTGACCTGCAGTGTTCGAGGATGGGACATCGAGGTCTTCCTCAGGGATTTTGAGTCGGTTGCGGAGCTGGTCGTGGTGCTTAGCACGTTGCTGAGGAGTAGAGCGAAAGCGGGTATATGACGATGTGGAACTCGTGGATGGGAAGGAGATTCGGGAGAGAACGGTTGAGTGACTGGAAGTGGAGTTTGACAGCCTATCGGACAGGGAGCAGACATTGCGGGAATTCCGTATGAAAAAACTTGGAATAGACGAAGATCCGCTGGTATTGGGTGTGAAATTGACAAAACTACATCAACTAGCACTTCTCACTTTAGATGAGGACTCTGAAGCGCAGCTGCTGTCTGCATAGATAACCGAAAGTGTCGCGAGTACCATCACCCAGCAGTTACAACTAGTGAACGTAGACCAACTAATGGATATTAGTGAGCTGGCCAATGTGACCAGAGAGCTAATGGGTACAGCAGTAGCTGTGATGGAGTCACTAGAGGTAAATAATTGGCAAAAACAAGTCGAAACCTTTGGGAGGAGGTGGCTGCACTTCGAATGAATATCAACAAAGATAATCATTACCTTATGCTGATAACTGTCTACGATTCAGCGTTTTCAGGTTCCCAATGTTTCTCCAATTTTAGTGTCAGTCCATGATAAATATCAACCTGGAAAGATGATTCATTTTGGATTTATACTAATCAGTTAACATTTTCTACTTAATTATACATTTCTTAGTCCTCTGTAACAATCGATTTCAATATGGTTGCTAATACAAATAACTTAACTTTACAGTGTACTCCAGTCGGTGTTCATTAGTTAAAGTGATCGTTCGGTGAGTTGAGATCTTTTGGCAAATCGCTTTCTGCCTATTGTTAATCAAACTTATTTCCTTGTCTCAGCGCTCATCAGAGACTTTTTTCGATAAGGATTTCCTGAAGTACTAATGCGAAACTTATGTTGTTCATCAATTTGAAAGTGGGATGATAACCCGTCGTTGACGCCGGTTTAATCTTTGTGTTATACCGCTAGTAGGCACAAATAGGAATGCATATACTTTGGCACGTATATGTGAATTGGTAGATGCATTTGGAGGTAACATGTGTTAAAAGCTTATCCATTCGCCTTTATACATCAGAAAAACAGAAAAAAGGATTCTTGTCCACATCTCTTAACATATTCCGAAGAATTTGAGTCTTGAGGGTCCATAGGGTTTAACTAGTGCAATCGCCGACCATTTCATAGATAATGTACAGAAAGTCGACATGTTAAAGTCATTCAAAGTAATCTATAAACAATGGAAACTCACTCATTTGCCGTTTGCTGACGCAGTCGTAATTAAAAGACTCAAACGTGATCTGTGTATTGGGAAAGAAGATACAGCTGTCAACCTTGCATTACCTTGGTAATTTTATATCCCAAACTCCATCATTACAAGACTTCATGACAACATGGTTCTTGGTTATTTTCTTGTCACTGTATTTTCCTATCTATTTGAAAACCTACTGTCACTATTTGAGTTGTATTCATCTTATTGCTCACCATAATGGAAACCTGTTGACTTCCGGTTATCCTTACTCATCCATGACGACGTCATTTCTTACTAATTCTTAGATAACATTGTACATATTTGCCCCTCAATTACGTATACATACATACATATAGAGAATTGTATAGCACTCATTAGTGACTCACTTCCAGATGGATATCAAAAAGTTGTAATGAGGAGCTATGACCTATGTGATCAACCAGTGGGAAGTGAAGTGGATGCCATCTGAAGACGTTGGGTGATAGTCGCGGAATAACAG